TGCCGAAATGAGGTCGAGAAACGGTTTGGATAGGGCACAATAAGGTTCCGGAGAGTGAGCCACGGTCAACCTCCGCCCCTCGCTAGGCTGACTACGAAATCTAATTGTCGTTCACAACATTCAAACTGGAGCAGAGTTGGTGAAAAATCGATAAGCTGATTGGCAAATTGCCAGCATGAAATTCATGGAAAAACACAATTCAACGGAATAAAAACATATAGAAGAAAATTTCACCGTAAAAAACATGAATATAATCGAATTTACTTACCTTCTCGTCCCGGAGTATTGATTCCGTAGCATATTTCAGCCTAATAGCAGCAGAAGAATAAATAGTTTTAACGAATAAGCCGAAACCAGCTGTTTTGGTGTGTTGTGTGCAGTTGCAGACACTGCGTCGCGTTTGTTTGACTCGCCCGAAAATTCCCTTATCGCCGTTTTTTCGCCATGTAACTCGCCCAACCCCCTTTTCCCTTGTCTTTTGAAGGTTTCTATTTCTTTTCTGCATCGTTTTTTGCGTTTTCTCTTTTACCATTGCACTATTGCAGGTCGCACCTAACATTTTTCGTCAAAAACAGGATATCTCAAAATTATGGTGAACTGTGCCTCTAAGCGTATTGGATATACTCAATCCGTGTTCTATAAGCTCATCGGGTATTTTCACCGATTTCCATTCAGTACTTATCATGGGGATAGTATTAGTCGATGCATAACTATTGCGGATTTTTTCAACAATTTGCTTATAAACAAACAATGAAAATGCCGAACAATAACATGCAACAACAACTAATAACTCCGAAATCTATCTACCATCTTCGTCAAGCACTGTTTCCCTTTTGTTAGGCAGTCGGTTTTTCGAGGCAGAGAAGTTTCGATTCTTGGCGGCGATCGCGCCTTGACACCAGCCATCAAGTCATTCATTTCGTTGTAAGTTCTGTTCGCTAGCCAATGTACCAATGAACTGTCGAGGTAATGATCCATAGAAGTTTCTTTCGGGTAATATGACGGATTTAGGAGCGAATCCCATTCCTTGCTGGACTTTGGCTGTCTGTTCCGTCACCGAAAAGTTCGTTGAGACCACGAAATGACGTCTGCCACCTTCAACCTTTCTCGAAGTAGTACAGCATAAGGTGGCGAATATGACTTCCCAGATACGTTTCTGTTGGGGAAACCTAGAAGATTATCTCTATGAGAATCCCAAATCCCATATCCAAATGTATCGCGAGAAAAGAAGCCGCGAAAAAATTCGCAATAATTATGCATTAACCTAATAGTTATGGCCAAAGGTTTTGTGAGTGGGCTTCATTTTGTAGACCCTTTGCCAACTTCAACCATGTTATTTACAACCGAATCAAATCAAGTATAAAAATCACTATAGTCAAAAAGAATTAGGCAGGGGGCATACCGACTCGCAATCAAGATCAATAATATTTGCAAAGAGGATATTACCTCAGAAATCGATAGTACTATTCATGTTTTTTGGATATGGGAAATATACCTTGTTAACATCGATGCAAATAGAATCGAACGCTCGTACGACATCGTCATGACAGTCAAGAATTATGACGTTGCTTTTCTCTTCAAGTACTTGGCGTCTGAAATAGTGCGACTCAAGTCCATGTGTTGCAGAAAGGGTCGAATGGAAGAAATCACCTCATATTCTGGCCAAACACGAGTTTATGGACCAAATTCGTGAAGACTTCTTCGATTTGGCGTCGACTCTGAATTCCTTCAGAGCCTGATTCAACACTGGTACTACACAAATTTTTACTTGACTTTTGCAAATGGATAGCATCATAAGAATGGTTTTTCGCTTCATTATCTACTCTCACAATGATTAGGTATTACATAAGTTGTGCTTTATGCTCTACATTTCCTCAAGAAGTCGCCTTCCGTTCGTTTCGAGTTCCTGAGCATTCGCCGAACTTCAAAATAGCTCCTTTCCGGGTCCAGGAGAAGTTCACCTAGCACATTTGTTATCAGGTACCTTGAGCAGTTTCTCTGAGATTTGTCGAGCTCACTAAAGTCCGTATAAACAAGGCATTCCTTCCTCTACAGAAGAACGGAAGATTGATCAAATAACACCATGTTCGTTCGAAGGCACGAAATCTCATTTCATTTCATTTCGGGTTTATAAATCAAACTCTTTCTCTGTCCACACAGTTCAGAAAAATGCTCTTTGAGAGATTTATGATAGATGCTGTTTCAGTAACTACTTCAGTGCCTGTTGAATTTCAAGGTTATAGGTTTTCAAAAAGCAAAGGAGCTATTCAAATGAATCCCGCATGTAGTACGACGAGCTATCGTATACCTGTCCTTACCTCCTGGATTCGGCCGATTTCGTGATTGACTGTGGCTGAGTGGAGGCCACGTAGTTTCATTTTTTGGAAGTGCATGAGTTCGACGTCTCTTGATGGCCATGAAATCCTATGGTGATGAGACTGGAAAACTTTGTGACCATGTTGTGATAACCTTACTTCCTGTTTAACAAAGTCGTGGTTAACAACAGTTCAAGAAAAGTCTATGAACTTCTTCCCTCGATTCGGTCACGCCACAGCTGCTGAGGCATGTCCAAAATGTTAATTCTCAACAAAGAACTTTCATACCTCGCTCAGCTTGTTGCTGCTTTTATCTGTTCTCAGCATGTCGTTGCGGAAACCTTGAAACCAGCCCACTGGTTCATCACCTATGCTCATATTACCGTAACGACGCACATGAGATAGAACAGTGAGTCCTTTCACCAACTCGAACTGCTCGCCCAACGTTTCCAAAGTAATGTCCTGCTGAAGAACTGATGTTTTACACTTACACATCATCAATTTGGATTTTCTTGAGATGCATCGAATCTTCCTTAAAAACGGAACAAACAAACTGTGGATGATGGGGCTAGTCAGCCATTACTTTAAACGAAATCTATACCTCTATGCTAGTGCGTAACCAACAAAATTAAATTAAGTCTGGGGCGTACGTTCTGCTCTGAGAGTAGTGATCATTTCGCGATGTATGGCTAGTGAGCATGAATGTGAAAGTGCTGATAGTGAGTATAGCTCCAATGAAAAAAAGGAGGGCAACAAACATGAGGATAGGCCCTCGTTGTAGCACCTAATTTACGCTTTTGTAGGAGATATGGTGAGTTATGCTTCAGACTTTTGAGCAAGTAAATGCATCACTTCTACTTTACATTGCCCCACGCTTTAAATGCTTGACGCAGCCGACACGATGTTTTTGAGGAGAATTTTTTTTTCTTCGCTGATGACGCTTTTTTTTCAAAAACTGTTTCACTCAACAAAATTATTGGCAATTCGTTGAAAGAAAAGGCGGATCTGCAGTTGTAGTAACTCATTGTCCGCAAGAACAACTAGATCTAGCGCTCATAATAATGGCAAATGTGGCAGATCTTCGCTGGAACAGAAAAATAAAGCTCAACCATACCCTGTCAGAATCTTCCATCCAGTTCACAGAGAACTCAGCTCCGAGACATGGCAAATCTAAATCGTTGTCGCAGTATGTAGCAAACCCCAATTCATCATAATCAGCCGAAGTAACAGCGTACACTAAATAACAGGACTTAGTTTCCCATCAAAAATACTTTAGTCAGTTAAGTAATTGTTCAGTGAAGCCATTCTTCGTAGAAACGTACCATCAATATCGTCTTCTAAGATTCCTCTGAACATTGAACCACCTTCACAGGCCCCCAGATAAAACACCAGTTGACTGTACTTGTGATTCTTGTGCATATCCTTCAAGGTGTCGTGGAGCTGCTTGACGGTAAGCTGAAGGAATGGAAATCTATCATAAACAATGGGTTTGGGAGAGGGGAAAAATGATAAAGCGTTTTCCCAGGCAAGTGTAACTATGAATGGGAATTTTTTTCAGGAAAGTAGGACTTCATTCACAATGTGTTTTCAACTTATTGTTGTAGAGTGAACTCTTGGCAATTTTGCAAAGCTTCCTCAAACGTTCTAGTTTTTCAGAACCTTGATTCTTCAATACGTACATGAAAATATGATAGACCTAGGCAGCATCGTTGATGTGGCCATGAAGTCTTCGATGTTAACGTCATCGTTTAGCCTCCCGAATACCGCCCCTTCAGCTTCCTTAATTTAATCACTAGTCACGTCATCGCTCCATCCTCCTCTACATGGCAATCCTGGCCTGCCGCCGGCATTCCCTTCGGGTTTGGATCCCCTAGAACAAACACAAGAATTATGGATCTCCAGCCAACCATACAGAGGTCGACTGACCTCGTGAGTCCGGCTCATCAGAAGTGTAGTCCTGCTGAACCCATGTGTGTTTAGGTGTCTCGAATGACTCCCCACTAGTTCGACTTAGCAGAGAATGTTTACTGTAACGCTCATTTTCCGCTATGCCCTTAGTTCGGCCGCCTACCATCACTGTTTAAACAATGTCGCCTGCACCACTTCCAATTCTGAGCGTTTTACGTTCAACACCCCGCTCCCTGAGGGTGGATTTATTCGTACCACCACCCGTGAGTGTCCATATGCTGCTGCATACATCCCCTTCAGATTTGGATGCCATAGGTCTGAGGGAACAACTTTTCGCGCATATCGGTCTGTCCTAAACAGCGTCCTGTCCTGCGAATTTCTATTAGTTTCGATCTGCCTGAAAGCCGAACGCTCTGGTCTAAGGGAGTAGCAGTTATGCAACAACAGGCTGACTTAGCTATGTGTGGTGAGATATATGTGCACAGTAGTTATTATTGAGCCACAATCACATATACTTATGAGGAGGCCATTACTCACTATATCATTCGGAAAAGCGACGAGTCCTGTAGATCCATGATCGACAAAAAATACGAAAATTCGGTCATACTTGCTGCTATAAGAAGATTGATACGTTAATTCATATGATCCACGAATGCAAAGGCACAGTTCACGATACAAATGATCTCTTGAACCTCCATTCAGAATTATCCGATGGCCCCCGAGGGTAACACAAAGGACGCGGTCGGGCTCAAAAACTCAAGGGCTAGGGCATAGAAGGAGCGCCATTTCCGAATCTTCGGATGCCAAGCTCGACCGATGACACGTCAGTCGAGTGTGAGGCGATACGTTATTGCAATACTCGCTATAGGACCCACACACATTCAGCTGATCGCCGAGTAATGGGACTATGTCTTTCTCCTACTCTATTATTCTCTGTTACTCTTTTAGCTGCCGCGGTCCTTCATCTAGTTTCTATCTCAACAGGCTGGAAAAGATGGGGTATTTTTGCTGGTCTTGTTCTCGTCCACCTCTCTTTTGACCATTTTTTCGGAGCCTTTTATTACTTTGGAAACACCGACGTATGCTTTCTTCACCTACATCGCACTATTCTCCACCTTCTCCTTTATTTTCGTCATAATCTGGTTAACCCAAAATTGTCGTAAACTGTGCCTTTAAAGCCGAACTATGCTTACCTTTGGATCACACGTCCGTTTCCGCCCTTCACAGCATCTCTGTCTCCTCTGAGGACGGCTTGAAAGTTTTCTGGCATGACAGAGTCGCCCTGTCAGAAGATGTTCTATGTTTTTTCGCGAAGATACAGCCACCTGCTCATCTACTTACTTTGTAATCGATTTTCAATCCAGCGTAAACGTCGGGACCATTAGGACTGTTGAAGAGTTTTCCTTTATATGGGTTCCTGGCAAAGGAAGAACAAGCGATTTCGTAGAAGTAACTTCATTTTGCTATTCAGCCAACCTTCATTCAAAGTCTTAAGGTACTAGACCAAGAGTGACCATTACCCTGCACAATGACTCGCACTGGTCAGAATGAATGGGATTCTGCTCAGATAATTTTAAAGCTCACAAACCATCCACACCGCAAAGCATACTCTGTCCCATGCAAAATTTGATCAATGAATATTCAATGTGGTATTTCTTCAGTCCTCATCATCTCCATTTTTTGCCTATAAGACTTCTCTTAGTAGTACTTACTCCTCATTGGTGGCAATGTCGTCGTACATCATTACAATAATGTTCTTTGCCGCAACTCCGTGATCTAGCAGGACATGGTATGCGTGGGCAACATCTGCCTGAAGTTTTTGCAACTCAAAATAGAGTAGAAACGAACTGCTCATAGAATTCGATNGGACGATTATGTATCAACTAGTACCAAATCGTTGACCATAATGGGATGCCGTTCAGGAAAGCCGTTCAGGAAAAACTTCAGAAATTCTGCAATTTTGGCGTCGCACTTATGACCGCTCATTCTTTTGTTCCAGACCCACTGGAGGGGGTTTCTCAGCCAATGCATTAAGTGTATTTCCATTTGCAGCACAAATATTTCTGTTTAAGTAGAATCGCTACGAAATCAGACCGCGTCACTGCCCCCATACATATCTTCCCATGGAGCGGCAAATATACTTTTGCTTTTTGTCTATCTATATAAACTAAATTCCAAATGTTCATTGGGACGCTTTTTGTATCCCGTAACGGTAACAAGTTTGTAATCTATTCTTGGAACCTGCAGAGTATTTTGAATTTGTGATTTATCTCAGAAAATAAGCTTTCCAGTTCTATTGTATACTGGCGCAGCCGTGCTAAAACCATTCTTTATGCACCAATCAGCGAATCGTGAAGGACGAAAGAAATAAATATCATAGACTTGAACCTGATGACGATAATTGGACCACCCCTTAGAGCCAGCCACCAGCAATGCGTACAGCTCTCCTTTTGGTGGGTTGCGGTCTCTGAAAGCATCTATCGAAACCAAGAAGGTCTTCAAGAATTGCTAGTATACTTGTTATGTCTACGAACTTACAAAGAAAGGACCGAAACTGTAACCGATGTTAATAGGCTAATCGTTAACAGCATCCTCATCTGAAAATATCCTATAATATACAACGCGCTGCGTATCTGTTGATTTATGTGTGTATGTATATGAGTATGCGTGGGTTTGATAGAAAATTCATAACTCCAATTTCCCTTTATCTGAAGAGTTCAAACTAAGTGCCAGCACAGCTGGGAGCACTTATAAAGGGTAGCAGGACTAGGCTCTGCTCATAGGGGTCGGGGAATTCATAACTCCTGCTTCACTGGACCTAGAGCGTTCAAATTTGGCAGGTGTACAGGCAGCAGGATGAGAACACTGATGATAGATAGCAGGAAGTGAGTGGTCTCGGCTGCACCGAAGTGGTGGAGAAGGTGGGTGGAGGGAAGAAGCGGAATATGAGTGAAATGAGTGGGATTTGAGTAAGAGTATGAAACCACGCTGGAACAGGTGGGGAATCGGGCAGGACTGTGCTCATTGCATGCGCGGTACGCACAAACTATTGGAGTGGGTTTCGCCAAAAGTCAGTTACCCCTATTCTTCTTAACCAGATAAGTATTCAATGCTTCTGTGCCGAACATGTTTTTGATCGTGGAACATTTGCCTGACGTTTCGACAATTTTGTCGCACTCAAAGGCCTAAAAGCGTTTCAAAACTCTGGGATGTAACCTGAGTTTATCTACAGGGTGCTCGCGCTTGACACAGATCAACTCTTAACTACCCTGGTGTGCGAAACTCACGAACGAGGTGAATAATGTAACATAAAATACTAAGAACTGGGAACACATGCTAGACCTATAAAAGTTTTGCACAGGAGTGGACGTGGAACATTAATTCAAGTAAGGCGATAAAATATGGATGCCCGCGCGAATCTAGGCAGTCAGTAGGTACGAGATGAAGTTTTTGTCAATCAGCGAGTAGCTGTAAGGCACTGTGATGGAATCCTTCAAGACATTGAGTCCCGCAGACATCTTCTGGATGACTTAACACGAGGAAGGATCATCGGAAAACTGGAAGAAGGTTGAACCCATAGCTGAGGAGCTCTTTATCGCTCACAACGTTGTTTCACGTGCTTGCAGAGCCTTCCTAACCTCTGATAGCGATGCTCGAAGGATGGGAGTTGGTCGATAAGGAGCAACTGCACGAAGGGATGACCGCTACACTGTGCAGCAGGCAAGAAGAGATCAACGTCAGTTAGCTTCTATGATTGCAATGACATTTAGGCACGCCATCTCACTCATTACAGTGGCATGACGGCTGCACGGTGGCGGTCTCATCGTCAGACGACCACTACATTGATTGTGATCCTTTACCCGCGCGCATCGGCAAGACCGTTCAGGGTGGTGAGAGGAGCAAGGCGAATGGACCGATGAGAATTATATGCAAGCTCTTTCCGAATTAGAGCGGATTCAGTCTAAGCATTGATGCTGGACACCTTCATATGGCAAGAAGTGGAAGTATGCGACTCTACCAGAAACACTGTCGAGGGTGATCGTTCTGACAGCCGAGGTGTTATTGTATGGGAAGGCATCATGTTGCAGACCTTACTGGTTTGCACGTTTTTAAGCGTGGTACCATGGCCAGTTATCGTTACTGTGAAGAGGTGCTCATTTCTCCTTTTGCCTTTTGCCACGGTTTTAGTGGGCTCTGCTGTTTTTATAAATGATAACGCGCGACCGCATCGAACAGGTACAGGAGCTTATGGGACGAGATGTCATTCGACAGATGGAGTGGCCTGCCCAATCCCCTACCTGAATCCCATCGAGTACGCGTGGCAAGCGCTGCGTAGACGCATTGCAGCACGTCAAAATGCACCAATGGCCATCCAGCAATTGTCAAGTGCGCTGATAGGAATGAAATACCCTGCCACAGGGATCAATCACTTTTTTCGTGGAAAGTACGGGATCGCGTAGCAGAGCATGCACAGCTGTCCGCGATGGCCATACGAAAACTATTAGGAACCTCGACACTTTTCTTTTTGAAGTACCAGGATAAAATGTGACGTCACATATAACAGTTCACCCTATCAAAGCTCAAAGAAATAAGTCAGCACTTGTCATGGTGCGCTTATTCTTTTTGTTCACCAGTCGGATCGGCCAGCTGCGGGCTCCCTTTCTTCTTGTGTGGGAAAGTTGACCCACTGCCAGCATTCCCCTAAGTTCAAAAGCTCTGGATCAAGAGCACAGGAGCAATCGTTTTCAGCGAAATACACACACCGACACACTCCGATGCGTCCTGCCCCCACGAGAGAAGTCCGCTCAAGTACTGTGTATTCAAGTGATGTGGTTCATTCCCCTCTTAATAAATTATTACGAACGATAATATTGTGATATGTGATAAAGTATTGAAAAATATAAGGGGGGAACAAATCCCCCCTTATATTCCCCTCTTAATTCATTTTTGTTGTGCGTTGTCACTCGAGTTACGCTCTTTTGACTCACGGTCCGCTCCTTAAAAACATCTACGCTCCCTCGAGCAGGATCCACTTCTCTCACAATCTACAACCTACCATCGGTGTCCTAATCCGTCATCTTGTTCTCGTGCCAAATTTGAACCTTCCGCATCCGAATTGGTATTCCCGCACGCCTCCTGTGGAGCCAGGTCATGCTACCACCCATCAACGTTCCCATCCTACTGTGCTCATGCAAATTTGAGCGCTCTAGGTTCACGGGAGCAGTAGTTATGAGTTTCCGACCGAACGTTTATCTTGCGCAAATCCCTCCCCCTGTGGGTGGAGTCAACTGTAAGTGTTCGCATCCTGCTCCCTGTAGTCTCAATAAATCTGAATGCTCTAGCCTTAGTGGACATGAGTTATGAATTTTAGACTTCAAACAAGCACACACACAAACACACCAACAGACACATTTATAGGTATAAAAGGATGCTTCGATTTCGATGTGTTATCTAGAGAGAGCCGAGGGTTTTTCTGGCACCGATTGTCATAGACGTAGATCAAATCAGTGCTTCTAACAATAAGGTTAAAATCGCAATCAGCACGACTTACCCATCTGCCTTAGTTTCTTGAATATAGCAAGCATCACATGCTAAATACTGACACTGTTAAATCACTTCGCCGATTCTTGATTCTGGAGCCTCGATAGTGGGAACTGATACGTTTGGCGTCCTATTAAAAGTTCATGGTTGACCGGGCAGTCTCACTTGCTCTATCGCCTCCGAAGTTGAGCAATCGTTAAATGCTGTAGCATTGGAAGTGAATTATTGAAATCTCCAGTGAAAATGTATGGTTCGAGAAACGACTAGATAATAGTTGATCTGTGCCAAGCGTTACAGGTAATAGACTAAAGTTCAGAAACGCTTTCAGGCCTTCGAGAACGGCGAAATCGCCGAAACGTCACACAGATGTTGAACAACTGGAGTCTGTTTTTCGGCACAGAAGCGCTAAATAAATATAGAACAAATGCCCAGATTTCAAGAAAGGCGGGATTGGAAATCGTTACGCCGATGTGATATCACCGATGGGCCGTAACAATTAGCAAACATTAACCACCACGGGTGTGGACACTCACAAATTTTTGTTTAAGTAAGAGGAGTTCGGAGCAGAAGCGAAGATGGGTTATGACACAGCAATGGAGTCAGACCGTTGTTTATATACGAAGTGCCAGTTTGACTGTAACGACCACTTCTCTAGGTGGTGTTTTGCAGAACTCCTAAAGATAAATTTATCAAGATATGAAAGTGCATGCCGGAACTGAAGCCGAACAATCTTTGCACATTTATTTTGACCTCTTATCGCCTTTTTTATATTTCCGATAGTAATTGACACATTCAAATCACTCCATCACGGACTTAGCTAGGGGCAGTATTTTGATAGCGCTTTATTTATCTGTAGCATTCTTCAGCTGCGAATATTTGTAAAGCGCACCCGATGCAGTCAGCGATCAGTGTGTCCCTTGACGGCTTTTTCATGTGTTGCGGTCGGAAATGACGACAATTGCTGGCTTATACTTATAGTTCATGCTTATGAAGAGCAGATCCGCTGTTTCCAAATCTTCTGTTCTTGAGGCGTTGTTCAGAGGTCTGGTCACTGTAGGCCGTCAAACTCCTTCTCTCCATCAAAAAGGCTGTGGAGCAGAGTCTGCCTTTTACCGATCCAATCTATCCAATCAGAGTGAAGTATTTCAGGAGCCAGAATTACCGTTGAACACAGCTTGTCGTGCTCTATAAGCTGATATCCTGCATTATTGAAGTCGTTCGGTTTCAGATTGCGCCATGCAGTTGAGTGTCATTCAAAAGCAGTTGCATGTGAATGGGGTTCACGCTTAAGTGCTCGTAGGAGATGATTGTCTT